TGGATTAATCTGTTTCTCCTTGCACTTCTATTAGTTTTTGCCTCACCTGTTTTGACCCTCTGTGGTTAGACATATAAATATTAAAGATTATTATGTCTTCTTTGATTGTCCCCTGTCATTATGTAATGCCCCTCTTTCTCCCTGATCACTTTCTTTGCTCTGAAATCTGCTCTGTCTGAAATTAATATAGCTACTCTCTCTTTCTTTTAATTGGTATCATATCATTTCCATTCCTTCTTCTCTGATCCTTCTCTTGCTCTCTATCACAGTTTTCTGGCTTTCTTTAGTGATATATTTGGATTTCTTTCTCTTTATTCTTTGTGCATCTATTTCTGGTTTTTGATTTATAATTACTATTAGGTTTGTATGTCACATCTTCTGCATATAGCAGTATATATTAAGTTGATGGTCACTTAAGTTTGAACCCAGTCTTTCCCCTTTCTCTCCCCCATGTTTTAGGTGTATGATACCGTATTTTACATTATTTTCTTTTGTGAATCCCTTGATTGACTTCTACAGATATACTTATTTTTACTACCTTTGTATTTCCTACTTTTATTTCTCTTACTTATAGTCTTTCCTTTCCACTCAAAGATTCCTCTTTAACATTTGTTGTAGGGCTGGTTTAATGGTCATTATCCTTTAGCTTTTGTCTAAGAAAGTCTTTATCATTCCCTACTATTGGGAATGATAACCTTGCTAAATAGTATATTCTTGGCTACAGATTTTTTCCTTTCAATACTTTGAATGTATCATGCCATTCCCTTCTGGCCTGCAAAGTTTCTACAGAAAAATCCACTTATAGCCTTATGGGGTTTTCCTTGTGTGTAACATTTCCCAGGAAAAGTCTTCTTTTCTCTTGCTGCTTTTAAAATTCTCTTTTAATCACTACTTTTTGACATTTTAATTACTGTGTGTGTTGGTGTAGACTTTCTAGGGTTGATTTTTGTTGGGGGAATTTCTCTGCCTTCTGGATCTGGATATCTGTTTCCTTACAGAAGTTTTCAGCTATTATTTCTTCAAATAAATTTTGTGCCCCTTGTTTGTCTCTTCTCCTGGGACCCCTATAATGTGAATGTTGTTATACTTGATGGAGTCACTGAGTTCCCTAAGTCTATTCTCATTTTGCATAATTTTTTTTCTCACCTGCTCAGCTTGGTTACTTTCCATTACTCTGTCTCCCAGATCATTAATTCATTCCTCTGCTCTTTCTAGCCTGCTGTTTATTTCATCTAGTTAATTTTTCATTTCATTTATTGTGTTCGTCATCTCTTATTGGTTCTTTTTTATCTCTATTTTAAGGGTCTCACTGATGTTCTCCATTCTTTTCTCAAGTCCAGTGAGTATCTTTATGATCATTACTTTAAATTCTCTATCAGGGGGAGCCTAGGTGGCTCAGTCAGTCAAGCATCCAACTTCGGCTCAGTTCATGATCTCACGGTTCATGAGTTCGAGGCCGGCATCAGACTCTCTGCTGTCAGAACAGAGCCCACTTTGGATCCTCTATCCTCCTCTGTCTCTGCAACTTCCCCGCTTTCACGTGTGCTCTTTCTCTCTCAAAATTAAATAAATGTTTTTTTAAAAAGAGTGAATAGAGGTTTGTGTGGTTAGAGGTCAGTTGTAGAAGTAATTGAGAAAGCTGAAATGACAGGAAATAGTGGTCAGACACATTTGAATTTGAGGTTGGTTAGCCAAATGACATGATTTTGAAAAGAATTGAAAGTTTTATATAAGGGTTTAATGTGGACAAAGAAGACAGAATCCCACCTCTGAACTCTGAGGTATGTGATGGGAGGGAATGTTGTGCATCTCCATGAAAGAACTTAATGAAGTGGGATTAACATATGTAAAGTAAGGAAAGGTTGCTTGAAAAGAGCCAGCCCCAGAAAATCTAGGTATAAATTAGGCTTCCAGCACTGTCCAACACATTTGGAGTAATGTCTCATTGTTGAGATCATCCCTTTTGTTGGGAAGGGTTACTAGGAAAATCTTAGTTGAAAAACATTTCTTAAGCTCCACCTATATTGACCAAAGCAATGTTCTGAATATAGTTTGGCTCCCCATATTACTACAGGGAGAAAATGTGTTGATTGGCCAATAAATACCTAGTGTGCTTAAGATAATTATCATTATAATTTGTATAATTGTTATTAAAATATCTTAAATTGGCATCATGTTTTATACATCCATTTTTTTCAGTGAGTGGTTAGTGTTAAAGGGAATTTTTGGATTTCGAAAGCTACAGTCTGGACCCTGGTTTAAACTATAAGCCTCAACGTAATACCATTTTTTTGAGGCCTCCTGGTAGAAGCCTTCACTTGGTACAGAACCTGTCTGCCAGGAAACATCTGCATGATATGCTTACTTATGTAAACTGCAGCAGAGAACCAGATTTGTATGTTGCTTTGTCTTTGTGCATATTTCTCTTCTTTTCCCTTCCAGAGTAGCATTCATTACATTTCTTAAGTGCTTCACATAGAATTTCAAAGTTCAGTTTGACCTCTGTACTGAGACATTATCAGACACAGATGCTACACTGAGAGGCTTTTTGGCAATCAATGGCTTAGTAGCCGTGATTCAGTTTGAATCACCCCCTCATGGACCATATGAAAGCAGAACCTTGCAGGATCCCAGCCATATTCTTGGGAATCATTTTCTTTTCCAACTTATTGGACTAGTTTAGAGGCTTTTGGATTTTCCTGGACTTTTTCCTCATTTCCTTCTTTTGTTGATCTTGGCCCCTTAACCTTCCACCCACTTTATTACTCATTTCTTAGGGACCTGACTACTCAGTAACACTAGAGAAAATATATCTGAAGCCATATGGGTTCAGTAAAACAAACTTAAGAAAAAGAAGCAAGACATTTGTGTTCTCTCAACTTCCTTTGTTTATATGATCTGTTTATATGTTGCTAAGGTTGTGTTGTCCAGCTGCCTCCCAATCTTGCTCCCAATACCTCAACAATGACTGAAGAGAACTGGGAAACACTTGAAGACAGTCATGTTGGCACAGAGAATGAAAAGAGTTCATTTGGCGCCAC